ACATGGCGAAACCCTGTCTCTACTAAAAATACAAAAATTAGCTGGGCATGGTGACAGGTGCCTGTAATCCCAGCTATTCTGGAGGTGGAGGCAGGAGACTCTCTTGAACCCAGAAGGCAGAGGTTGCAGTGAGCCAAGATTGCATGACTGTATTCCAGCCTGGGCAACAGAGCAGGACTCTGTCTCACACACACACACACACACACACAAAAATTATTACCAAAAATTTCAAACATAGAGAAGTAGAAGGAATGAACTACATTATCTATTATTTAAAAATGATTAGGATCGGCTGGGTGCAGTGGCACCCAGTGGGTTTTTTTTTTTTTTTTTTTTTTTTTTGAAGAAGGCCATTTTACTTTGGGCGTTTTAATTCCATTGCTGAGGCTGGGAATCAATGCCCGGGACAGGGAAGGACAGTTGTGGAAGTGTAGGCAGAGGGACGTGGGGTATGGTGGGAAGGGACATTCCTGCAGGCCTCTGCTGTAGAGGACCCAAGGTAGGTGGGCGCAGGGCATGGCTGGCGGAAGGTGGGTTAAGCTAGTAAAGCGTCTCGCGGTCATGGGTGCGCAGGTGGCGCAGCCGGTGGGAGCTGCGGCTGAAGCTGCGGCCACACTGCGTGCAAGAGTAGGGCCTGGCGCCCGTGTGCACCAGCTGGTGTCGCAGCAGGTTGCAGCTGCGGCTGAAGCTCTTACCGCACTCCATGCACTCCTGCGGGGGCTCGGCCTGCTCCTGCCCAGGCTCCGCATGGGTAGCCAGGTGCCGCCGTAGGTGCGCCTTACGCCGGAAGCTGAGGCCACATGTCTGGCAGCTGTAAGGCCGCTCGCCTGTGTGGCTGCGGCGGTGGCGGGCCAGGTTGGAGCTATTGCGGAAGCGGTGGCCGCAGGTGTCGCACGCGTGGGGCTTCTCCCCAGTGTGGATGCGCTGGTGGCGCGCCAGGTGGGCGCTCTGGCTGAAGCCCTCACCGCACTCGCTGCAGCGGCAGGGCTTCTCGCCCGTGTGGCTATGCTGGTGGCGGGCAAGGTCCTGGGGCTGGCCAAAGCTCTTGCCGCACTGGGTGCAGTGGTGGGGCCGAGGGCCACCGTGGGTCAGCAGCTGGCGGGCCACGCTGGCCCGGCGCACAAAGAGCTTCCTGCACTGCGGGCAGACGTAGGGCTTCTCGCCGGTGTGCACCCGTTGGTGGCTGACCCGCTGCGAGCTCTGCGTGAAGCTGCGGCCACAAGCCTGGCAGGAGAAGGACCGCTCGCCCGTGTGCACCCGCCGGTGGGTCACCAGGTGCTCACTGCGCCGGAAGGCTTTGCCGCAGTCGCTGCACACGAAGGGCCTCCGGTCAGAGTCCCGGCGGCGGCTGCCGGAGCCTTCAGAGGACCGGTGGTCCTTGTCCCTGGCATGGGTCCGCAGGTGGCGCTTGAGGCTGGAGCGGCGCTGAAAGGTCTGGCCGCAGTGGGAGCACAGGACCTCGTTTGGCGGCGGCGCTTCGGCCTTGCTGTCAGGCGCGCAGGGCGGTTTCTGGTCCTGGGCGCGAGCCAGCGGGTGCTGCACGAGGCTGGTGCGGTGCTGGAAGCCGCGGCCGCACTCAGTGCACAGGAAGGCGGGCTCGGAGGAGTGGCTGGGCAGGTGCTTGCTCAGGTGTGAGCTCTGGCGGAAGCGGTGATCGCACAGGTGGCAGGCGTGCGGCCGCTCGTCCGTGTGAATGCGCCTGTGCAGCTTGAGGATGGAGCTGCGGCCGAAGCTCTTCCAGCAGCACAGGCACAGGAAGGAGCGCCCAGCCGGGTGCGAGCGCAGCTGGTGCGCCTTCAGGCGAGACAACTGCGGGAAGCTCACCCAGCAGTCCGCGCAGATGAACTGCAACTCCGGATGGCGCTCAGGGGCGCCCTTGGCCACTTTGACCTCCAATATTTCACTGCCACCAAGAAGGGACCCATCTTGACTGGGGGCGCTGTCCGCAGGGCCCGGTCCGAGTGTCTGGGCCGGAGGCTCTCCTGGCGCCCCAGGACTGTCTGCCTGGGACTCTGCTAAGATGGCAGCGGGCCAGGCAGCCCCTTTGGGGTCGTCTTGTTTAAACTCCTCCTTGTCTGGAGTTCTGCTTCTGAATCCCAGAGGATATGCAGGCCACACCTTATTCTCTGGCACAACCTCAAAAATGTAGGAGTCAAGTGTGCTCCTCCCCGTCCCTCCCCCCCCCCCCCCCCCGCAAGGCCCAAGTAGATCCTTGGTCTGCGCTCCAGCGTGGGTGCAGCTGTGCAGGCACGAGGTGTCCATCAGACCGTGGCTACCAATGGGCCGAGCAGCACCCAGCCTGCCCTGCCGAAGGCCAGAGCCGTGGCTCCCAAACCCAGCAGCCGGGGGGAGTATGTGGTGGCCAAGCTGGATGACCTCATCAACTGGGCCCGCAGGAGCTCCCTGTGGCCCATGACCTTCGGCCTGGCCTGCTGCGCCGTGGAGATGATGCACATGGCCGCACCACGCTATGACATGGACCACTTCCGCGTGGTCTTACGCACCAGCCCACGCCAGTCCGACGTGATGATCGTGGCCGGCACACTCACCAACAAGATGGCCCCCGCGCTCCGCAAGGTCTGCGACCAGATGCCCGAGCCACGTTACGTGGTGTCGGTGGGGAGCTGTGCCAACGGCGGCGGCTACTACCACTACTCCTACTCGGTTGTGAGGGGCTGCGACCGCATCGTGCCCGTGGACATCTATGTCCCAGGCTGCCTGCCCACGGCCGAGGCCCTGCTCTAGGGCATCCTGCAGCTGCAGAGGAAGATCAAGCGGGAGCGGAGGCTGCAGATCTGGTATCGCAGGTAGCGCCACCGCCAGAGCCTGGCCCGGAGCCGTCCTGTCCCCCTTCTGTCCCGTGAGTTTGTCAATAAACCCCCCCTTGGGCCCCCGCAAAAAAAAAAAAAAAAAAAAAAAATCCCTGCTTAGTGAAAGCAGGGATTTCTGTCTCTTTAGCTCACTGCTCTTTCTCTAGTGCCTAGGACAGCTCTTAGCACACAGAGGACAACAAATAAACCTGAGGATAAATGAGTAAATGTATGAATTGAGCATGCATGGCTTTTGTATTTGGGAGGAATCCATTGTAAACAGTTTTATATATATATATACATGCTGATATATATATATATATATATATATACACATCAGCATGTATATATATATATCTGCGTGTGTGTGTGTGTGTGTGTGTGTGTGTGTATATATATATATATATATATATAAAGATGAATCAAGAAGTGTTCTCTTCTTATGTAAACACAGGAAAATCATCAGACATCTCAGCCACTGAACCTACTACTTACAAATGATGTGTGTGTGAAAATGATGTGCACTTTATTCATGAGGCAAAATATAGAATCAGGTATCAAGCGGCAGGACTGGGGTCCTATGCTTTGTGTCTTCTCCAGAAAGGGAAGAAGACAGGAATGGAGGGTCTCCCTGGTGAGGAAACATGGGAGGAAACACAACCACCCGTGTTTCCTCACCCGTTTATCACCCAAGACAATGACAGAATGGAGCCTTGCTGTCTCTTTATAGCAGGGCAGAAAAAGCCAGCCAAGGAAGGTGAATGAAAGACTTGGAGGACTTGGCCCCAGACACTTGACTAAGATTACATCTGTCTGGGAGGGCTGCATGGATTGAAAATTAGTGCAGTGGCATGCACCTGAAATCCCAGAAGTTTGGTAGGTCGAAGCAGGTGGATTGCTTGAGCCCAGGAGTTTGAAACCAGCCTGGGAAACATAGAGAAACCCTGACTCCATAAAAAATACAAAAATTAATAGGGCGTTGTGGCACATGCTTGCGGTTCCAGCTACTCAGGAGGCTGAGGTGGGAGGATCACTTAAGCCCAGGAAGTCGAGGCTGCAGTGAGCCAAAATTGCACCACTGTACCCCAGCCTAGGCAGCAGAGTGAGACCTTGTAGAAAATAAAAAAGAAAAAAAAAAGAAAAAAAAAAAAACCAGGTGTGGTGGCTCATACCTGTAATTCCAACACTTTGGGAGATCAAGGTGATCACTTTATGTCAGGAGTTACAGACCAGCCTGGCCAACATGATGAAACCCTGTTTCCACTGAAAGCACAAAAATTTGCTGGACATGGTAGCACATGCTTGTAATTTCAGCTACTTGGGAAGCTGAGGCAGGAGGATTGCTTGAACCTGGGAGGTGGAGGCTGCAGTGGTCTGAGATTGCACCACTGCACTCCAGTCTGGGCAACAGAGTGAGACTTCATCTCAAAAGAATAAAATTAAAAATTAAATTAAAAATTAATTAATTAATTAGCCTAAGGGCTTACATGTCTAGAAGGAATCATTTTTTTCAGCCTTTTGAGGCAATCTAAACTT